TCAATCTGACATCTGCTGACAAAGGGTTGTACTGACAACAGAGTTGGCGTGATGCTTTACAATGCCTCGTGGTCTGACTAAGAGTAAAATGGGCTTTGTGGAGTCTTGGTTTGGATTAAGGCTTAGCTCCAGAAGCAAATCATTTAATCAAGTAATCATTTATTTTGTGGTGTATTTATTCAATTTAACATTCACACTGTATGTGCAAAGTATAAAAAGGTTCCCTGATGGTAGAGGATATTTGACCTGACTTGACCCATAAAGTGGATCTTCAGTTTCGGAAAATAAAGAAACTCTACTGATAAATTCAACAAACATAAGTCTGCTGCAAATGCAACTGCATAAAAATCAATAAAACTAAATAAATCAATAATTGAAAATAAAAATAAATTGACAATGAAAATGGTGGACAACAAATGGCATCAGTTATTAAGGCCTGAGCTCTCATATTGAATTGTTTGCATTTAATTAATACATTATTGTAATGGAATATATTAGAAATAATAATGTATTATTATTTATATTAATTATTATTTGTATTATTTATCAATTATATTTATAATGTGAAGTGTTTAAAATGTAATAATAATATATTACATTTAATGATAAACTAAACTATAGTATTACAATTATTGCAATACAAAATTCTAAATTATTCAAACCATATGCATCATATTTTTGATTGAGATCATTAGCATATTGAGATTAATTTGTTGGTTTTTTAAACCATATGCATCATATTTTTGTTTGAGATCATTTGCATATTGAGATTAAGATGTTGATTTTTTTTATTCAAACCATATGCATCATATTTTTTTAAATCATTTGCATATTGATATTAAGATGTTGTTGTTTGTTTTATTCAAGCCATACGCATCATATTTTTGTTTGAGATCATTTGCATATTGAGATTAAGATGTTTTTTATTCAAACCATATGCATCATATTTTTGAAATAATTTGCATATTGAGATTAAGATGTTGATTTTTATTCAAACCGTATGCATCATATTTTTGTTTGAGATAATTTGCATATTGAGATTAAGATGTTTTTTTTTAATTCAAGCCATATGCATCATAATTTTGTTTGAGATCATTTGCATATTGAGATTAAGAAGTTGATTTTTCAGTACAATGCCGCAAAACGAATTCTTTAAGCAATTAAACAAATAAAATCAACAGATTAGCACTCTTCACTTTTCTACTACAGAAGACTGCAGACTTTCCTTGCAAGTTTAGATTCCACTGTACGATAAACAAAAAAAAAGAAGTCATACCTGACACGTAATGTGCACGTATTGCGGTTCATAAGCGGATGGATAACTGCATGCGATCTTCTTGCCGTTCTGGGTGAAGTCTCGGATTTCTGAGAGGCACTGCTGGAGGTCAGCAAATCGGGTGAAAATCCTCTCCATGTTCTGCGTCAGCTGCTCCAGGTTGGTCTCTTTGGACTGAAAGCTGTTTTTTGGTGGAGTGGCATCGGAGTATGATTTTTCCGAGACCTCGTACCTAGGCGAACACGGCCGACTGGAATCCCGGCTGGCCTGCCCGGCTACGGCGAGCGTGGCCATGCGGCTGATGTGATCCATGTCGTAGTTTTCTAGAGTAATGGAAGAGGAACTGGAGGCTCTATCCGAGAAGTCGGTGGAGCTTGCCACAGGGCTCAAATCCGAGCTGCGTACCTCCTCGATTAGTTTTCTCCGACTGGATGGCGAAACAATTACAGAGCCTCCGGGAAGAATAAGATCCTTAATTGACAGACGATCCTCTTTAGAAACGTTCTCAGAATGACGTCTAATCCCATGATGTTGGCTCGGCGGCTCGGACTTGGGAAGCACCGGGGTGTCACCTTCCTCGTCGAATACCAGTTCCTTGGCTATTAGCCTCAAGATGTACTTGTCCGTGTTGGAGGAGGGGAGGAAAGCAGGATCATTGGACTTCTGCCGGCCAATCATAAAGAGCAACATCTTGTTGGTGAAAAAGCACACCCCTTTGGGCCTCTCGTTCTTTTGCAGCTGGATCTGTTGCACGTTGGGCATGGAAGAATCCGTGATACAGTAAACCAAGATCATGTTGCACGTGTTCGAAGCCACGGCCATCGTGCTCCCGCTCGGATCGAAGGCAATGATGTCAGGGACCAAGATGCCAGGGATGCTGACCTTCCTTGTAGTGGTGACCTTGCGTTCGTACGTTACTAGAATCAAATGAGAGGAGTCCTGACCAGTTCCCGACAAATGATCCCGCCGCCTCAAGTGAATGAGAGGGCTCGGGTCTGATTTTCGGTGTTTGGCGAGAATGTGCGTTAGGTCCATGGGTCCGGATGAAGAGGCGTGTCCCGAGCGTTCAGAACCACATGATCTCCGTCTAGAGTCCAAATAATAGTCCGTATCCACTGTCAAAACAGGAGAAGGGCGACAAGTCGATACCTCCGACTCGTTCGGTAGGTCGAAGGCGATGCCCGCATTGAGCCCGCAAATTTTATCAAGCGGAAGTTCAGTTGCCACAGCCACTTGAGCGTCGCTGGTGGACTCGATGGCGCAGATATACCCACCTATATCGAAAACAGGGCAGAAGGAACACGCCACCAGGCTTTTTTGGATGTCGTTCCAAATGTACGAGTGCAATGCGCTACCGATGGCCACCACAAGGCGGGTTCCGTCTTTAGTCCAGCAGGCACAATGGATTAGACCACTGCCCTTGATGTCGGCCTTCACGCGACGATTATCGACCCGCACAGTAAACAAAACCGAGGCGTCCCGCTTGGTCAAAACAGCTAGGATGTCCATTTTGGGATGCCAGACACATCCTTGGGACAGCAGTGGGAACGGCTCGCTCATTTCACAGGTCTGCGTGCACAGGAGTTTGTTTTGCTCCGAAGCGCTCAGCTGAAGTTGCCACACGGTGATGTGCTTCTTATGCTGCACGGCAAGCAACGCCGGGGTCCCGGAGCAGCACAACGGCCCCCAGAAGAGTCCCAAGACGTGTTCGAATTGTCCAATGACATTGGTGTCACCAAATTTGGGCTCACCGTCAACAGAATACAACGACGTGAGACAGACCTGCTTACCGTCCGTCCAGGCTATTCCGTGCACAGGGTGAATGGCTTGGTGCAGGGTGTTTAACCCTGTTCTCAGAAGTTTGGCTTTTCCTAGCTCCATGCTTGGTTCAGATTCTCCAATGGAAAGGAAAATAGTGTTCCTGGTCATACAGGAACTGAGTCAGACTCAGAATTGAGAGATAGATGCAACTCTGTGCTTCAGTATGAGAAGACTGCCATCACATACTCCAAGAATAGGTAAAGCCTCTTCCCTCACTCTCTAATCCTATTGGCCCGAGTGAGGCTCCACTCAAGGATGACCAGATTAGGCTGACACGACCCCCGACGTCATAAAACCCTCTGAGGTTTGAATGCTACGGCTTTTTTTTTCAGGACCAGACCTGAAATACACAAAAATATATAAAACAAGACAAAGACTGAACAGCACAGAAATGTCACTTTTAAAAATGTATGCTGATTTGAGAAACTAAACCCCTGGTCAGAGCCTGACTGGCAATATTTTAAAAATGGCAGACCCCAGCGGAGATATAGGGGACGAAATAGATGCTAAAACACTCTATCCTGGTCGTTTTCAATACTCGCAACTCCAACTCCTGACTCTCTACAGTGGTTTTGATGAAACAAGCTGGTTTTTATACTGCCAAGGGCGTAGCTCGTACCAAGAGCGTGGTGAGCTGAAACGTTCGTACGTCACGAAGAACCGCTAACATCCAATAGGAAATTCAACTGCAGTAGCCACCGTTCAACCTGAAGAGGGCAGCACTAAGACGTTTTTACACCATCTATTGCAGAAATAAAACACTTTATACACAAATGTCAGAAAAGTTACTAGAATCAATGACTGGTATTAATAAAGATCCATTCTTACAGGTCATTAACTAAAAAAGGGTTTAGGGTTTAGTTAGGCTACGCTAAAAAAAAAAAAAAACATTACTATGGTAAGTTACTACTACATATAACTACAATAAAACTGTGGTGGCATTGAATCAGCCAGCATGGTAATCAGTCGATCAATAATTAATTAGTTAATTCTAATTGTAGTAAAAACAATTGAATAAAAAATTACATGTGAAAAAAAACTATGTTAATATTTGAAATGGGAAGTCAGTTAACCACAACAAACATTATCAAAGACTGAGAAGGATCAAATAAATTTCACTTTAAACAAAATACAAAATAACCCCTTACTAAAAGTTACCATGTTAGCTAGCCAAGTAACGTTAACACCACAAAAATATTCTAAAAGCTTATTGCATTGTTTGAAGTTGAAGTTTAGAGTATCAACAATATCTAATATCTGTCTAAATTTCTCTCGCGAAACTGTTTTATTCACATGTTGTATTGACACAATCCCACATGCTAGCATGTGAAGAAGATCTAGATAGAACAATCCAGAAAATATGAGGAAAAATATAAGCTAAATATCAAACCAGCATTTTCAGAAGGTAATATTAAAAGCATACCATAATGCTATTGACAACCCAACGGAAACCATGGCAACTCCACAGAGAGAAGAGAAAATCACGTAAACCTGAGCATTTCATTTCCCCGCGGAGACATTTGAAGTCATGGACAAACGGAAAGAGAATGACTAAGGCATTCTGGGAGTTGTAGTTCAGATACGTTTCTGGTTCAAACTCACGATAGGTTGTCTGATTCATTTGCGCGAATCGATTCTTTCGAACAATTCAGGCTAGTTCAAATATATTTTTGAAACAAATAAAGTCAATTAGAACTGCACATTCATTAGAAAAGTACATTCAGAACTGCAATAACGATATAAAAACAATACCTATTTTACAAATGTTACACACAGCACACTATTCCAGAATCGTATACAAATTGAGGTCATCAGAACGGAATGTTGTCCAATATTATATTTCACCACGGGTTGACCATCGCGCATACAGTTAGGCTGATATGACAGTGGGTGGAGTGCAGTAGCGCTGTAGTCTCTCACTCTGTGTGTGTGTGTGTATGTGTGTGTGTCTCTCTCTCTCCCACTACTGAAGGAACTATCCGTGCGAACAGAATGGGTGTTGAGATTGAAACAATATCTCCAGGTGACGGTAAGATGCTATTTTCTAATAAGTTCCAATTTCAAATTCCCGAACGTTCAATCTAGATTAGAACTGGCGAATTCGAATGTGTTGTTTTGGTACATTGTAGCGGGATTGCGGGAACATTCTGTCTCTCTAATTACATAATAACATTCTTGAATTTGCATTGCATATTGTTTGCGTAAAGAAGTCAACACTAATAGTACAGATTTAACGAAATGCCCATCGCTATGATGAGGATGTTTCCGCTCACTGTCTAGTCAGGGATTAACGTGTCTGTGCCAAGCAGAATAATGTGCCATGCGTGCCAACTCAAACACTCTTCTCATTATGATTCCTCACTGCAGCTGTCAGAAATGTGCCTTCTTTAGGATTTCCTCTACAACATGCTTGTAGAATGATTTGGCTGATGAAATGCAGGTAGAGGCTGTGTATCGTGTATGTAGTCTCAGATGGCAGCATTCTTGCCCTGGCTAGACATGAGCTTTGATGTTAATCCGCAGGATCATTTGGCACAGTTGGTAGAGTCTCTGCTGGTCTGGTCTAACCTCACAGCAAGGTGCTGCTATGTGTGCCACTTGTTGCATTACCTGTTTACCTGCATTACAAACACTTTCATTGACACAATGTATGGATGCATATCTTGTATCTGATTGGCCAAACTGAGTATAACTAAAAGGGACCACACATTACTTCATAGCCTATAAACCACTCACAAATGTGGGGTCAGTTAGATTTACAATATAATGTTTTTTTCTGAATTTTCAGCATCATTACTCCAGTCTTCAGTGTCTCATTATTCTTTAGAAATCATTCTAATATGATAATTTGCTGCTCGAAAAACATTTCTTATTATTGTCAATGTTGAAAACAGTCACTTAATACATTTGTGGAAACCATGACACATTTTTTCTTTGATTAATAGAAAGTTTAGAAGAACAACATTTTTGTGAAGTATATTTATTAACTTTCACTTTTGATCAATTATTTTGTCCTTGCTGAATAATATATATATATATATATATATATATATATATATATATATGAAGAGTTCAGATGCAAAAGCCTCTAAATGCCATTTGAAATTTTCTTCTAAAATGACCATTTTTATCAAGCTTGTATATTTAAGTTCAGTAATTTCACTTAAATGACAAGTGAAATTACTGAACTTAAATATACAAGCTTGATAAAAATGATCATTTTAGAAGAAAATTTAAAATGGCACTCTTCATATACACCTACACACACACACACACACACACACACACACAAAATACTAAATTATCTTTAATATCCTAATACAAATGTGCAGATCATTTCATGTGACACTGTAGGCTATCTATATAATGTAATTATTAGGGCTGGCCAACTTGGCCAACGATTAATTGTGATTAATCGTATCCAAAATAAAAGTTTGTGTTTACATAAAATATGTACGTGTAGTATGTATAATTATTTTGTATATATAAATACACACACATGCATGTATATATTTTAAGAAATATTTGCATGTATGTACTGTATTTACATAATTTACATTAATATATATATATATATATATATATATATATATATATACATATTAATATTTTATATATTATTAACACATTTTTCCTAAATATATACATGCATGTTCGTGAATTTTTATGTGCAAAACAATTATACACAGTACACACACATATATTATGTAAAGTTTGTAAACACAAACTTTTATTTTGGATGCGATTAATCGCAATTAATCATGATTAATCGTTGCACAGCCCAAGTATTTATTTTATGTAAAGCTTGCCAATATTGCACAAAGAAAACATCAAATGTGAATCCAGTCTATGATTTTCAATTACATACTTTTAACCCCAAGTTATTTTATTGGGATTAAGTCACTTTGGGTAAAAACATCAGAGAAGTGACACTCTTGTAATATTCGAACAACTCAACATGCCTGTATGCTTAAAATGGTTACATTTGTGTTTATGTTTTTTTAAAGTCAGAATTTGGGGCTGAGAGTCTGATTATTCATTCATACGTTTATATGGACCAATAAGAGGCCAGTAAGTCATAATAATAAGCATTATTATGAAATTATCAATAGAAGCTGTAAATAAGTGCTGCAGTGACCATGAGCTCATATGATTTTGACACCTTTCAGGCACAAGTCATCAAACTCTAGAACTGCCTACCGAGGGCACTGACCGCACAGTGTCAGGAATGAATGCGTTGTAATGGCGCTTTTTTTCTTGCTCTGCTCTGGTCGCTTGCGTCTGTGGGACGCTCTCGACTGACATCCTATCTGACCCCCACCAGCCTGCTGTCATGTGGCTCAGATTCCTGTCCAGCTCCCACACACATTAATCAGACACCACCTCCACCACACACACACACACACAGTTTTCCTGATCTGCCTTGGACTGCAGATGAAGACTATACCCAAGTCTCATGACTGCTTATGGATTTAGAAGCTTTTTATTGATCCCCTTAGGGTGTTTGTGGATTAAATTAAGGTATTTCCACAATAATTTGAAGTTTTTCCGCTGTGGTCTATTATTTGTGGTATCTAACTCTATGGTTGCATACCTATTGTGGAGTAGGTGCAAACAGAAGCATGTGACAAAAGAAGCATGTCTCACAGTACTCATAAAAGACCAGGCAAAAGGTCCCCAAATGACCTACAACTTTCAGTGAGATTCTGAAGTGTGTATATGATAGACACTTTACTATCCCATGAGGCCACGGGAGAGGATTTATGAATGGCAGTGAAGCGACACCACTGATGCTTGTATGTCATAATGACAACATGGCGAATATAGGATTACTGTTCATACAACAACACACTCTTACAATATTGAACATACTTTTTAGTCATGAAGTAATTACTATTATTCAAAATAAGTACCTAATCAAGAGAGTATGCGATTTCGAACGCAGCCAATGCTAATGCTAACTGGTGCTTTGTTGCTTTACATGCCAATCTGACCTTTTCTTGCTGTTTGGGTTGTTCTCGCTCATAAAAAGGGGACAATAAACCTGAGTATCTTTCAAAGATTCAATGCCACAAATCTTCCAATCCAAACCTCTGAAAATCTGTTCAGAAGGTCACTGATTGAGACCCACACTTTAAAAAAAAAGGTTCTTCAGGGGTTCTTTGCGGTGGTCATGGTGCTATATACTGTAGCACCACTAAGCCCAGTTTGGTTCTTCGGTGGTTCTCCGGGGTGGTTAACGTGCTCTATGGCACCTCTTATGGTTCTACATAGCACCACATGACAAAAATACGTGCTATATGGCACTTAAAGTGGTTCCCCTTATGATTACAATCCAATGAACCACTTTTATTGCTATTTAGCACAATTTTTTTTAGAGTGCAGTTGACTGATTGAGACGTGAGTCTTGAAGCTGTTTGTCAGCCAGCCACTGGACATTTGAGTCAGCTCTTGCCATTTTCACGTGCAGAACACATCAGACGACCAGTGAGCGGTCAGCGGGGGTGTCGTCTTATCTAATGAACTGATAACATTAGCTACAAGTTGAAAAAGCGTCTTCATCACCAGACTGTGATGGTGCCAGTGGATATTGTGGTGTAAACTAAAGCTCATACTGTATGCTATGATTCTTCGCACTAACTAACTGTCTCATTCTCTTCTTTCTTCACAGGAAGAACTTTTCCGAAGAAAGGACAGACGTGCGTTGTGCATTACATAGGTAAACTATCTGCTGATGTAAATGTTCACATATGTTGTGTATTGGAGGTTTGGCTCAGACGACCAACTCAGACAGACCGGAAACAGGATGTCGATAACAACATTCTGTCTCCTCTTGTTAAATGTTTTCTTTCGTCTCAGTATCCCAGTGATTCTCTTTGAAAACACAGGATAAGTGTTGCAGTTCTTTCCCTGTATTGAATTGCTTGGTCTTCAACTACATAATAAGCCCTTATAATTATTGCTTGCTTGAACTTTGGACCTTTACTCTTGTGCATGACACACAGTATGTTGCCAACTGGATCAGGAAATTGATGCCTTTTCCACTCATTATGTTCACATTGTTGCAGATAATACAAAAACACAACAAAAAATCTTATAGAGCTCAAACCTTTCAACAGTAGGGATTATTTTTGTTTCTGTAGGACAAAATTGCTATTTCTTACGGAATATTTTTTAATAATAATAAATATGATTCTTTCCTGTCTTTTCAGAGGGATCTGCACTAGGATTCATGTTAAAGGGGTCATATAATGCCATGTTTGTACAATTTGATATGAATGTTTAGGGTCTAAATGAAAACTTTGTAATATATATTTATTAAAAATTCTCATTAGTATTTTAAGAAAACACTCATTTTACCCGGTCAAAATCAGCTCTGTTTTTAGCACGCCGTTTCAGTGCATATGCCTTTAAATAATAAACCCCGCCCCTCTGTTAAAACAAAAACACTGGATGGATTTTCATCATTAAATGATGGTTTTGTGCAGGCACTGCCAATACACTTTGCAGTACAATCTACTTGTAAAAGTGCATGTCCCATTATATGACCCCTTTAACAGTTCGAGAGCGAACTCTCAGTGTTATTATAAGCTAGATTCAGGCAGCTCTGACTGTGAGATCATTAGCACTCAGAGCAGCAAACAGGGTCAGACTCACTGGAGACGTCAATAAAGCCCTTCTGCAGCACTTAATATAGGACTGCAGGGCCTTTGCTGAGAGCCCTCGAGCCCTGGAGTGAACCAGATACAGCATTACCACCAGAGACAGGAAAGTCATCACTATTCAACCATTTTCATTTTTTTCATTTATTTCGGTTTGGTCATTTACAGATCATTCAATCAATCAATTAACCCTTATGCTGCATTAGGGACATTTTTGGTCTTTTGCAGTTTAATTTCTTTGACCATTTTGGCTGTTTTAATGCAAATGGTATGAAATTTGGCAAAATTGTGACTTTTTGGATACATTTAAAAAATGTGATCCCATTTTGCAAAATATGTATAACACACACTGTAGATCAAATAGTAACACTCAGCACCATAAAGACCAAAAATGGCCCATTGAAACCCATTAAAACGTTGTAAATCTGAGGCTGTCAGTAATACATGAAACATGATTTTTGCACAAACATCCTTTCATTTTGCAGCAAAAGCATTATATTTGCATTATATAGTGTATTCCACCAGATGACGTCACTACATATTTATTCCCTATGGGTGGAAATGCACCTTATTTTAGGCAATAGGCAATGTTTAATAGGTGGCCATTTTTGGTCTCTAACGCGCTAAGTGGGATTTTTTGCAAAGTGGGACTGTGATAATCCAAATCTAAAGTTTTCTCTTTGCATTTAGTTTATTGAAAATAATTGAATTTTTGTGTTTTTTTCTCTTATACAAATCGATGGTTTCGCAAACAAAACTGGTAATTAAAGGGTTAAAATCCTGAAATTGAATGCATTTTCGGTAGTTATGATGAGGACTGATGCTGGTTAAAATATTTAACTTGGTAAAAGTGGAAAATAATAATAATATATATAATATTTTAGGCAATGTTTAATATGTGGCCATTTTTGGTCCTTAATGCACTCAACGGTGTTAAAAATCTAATGCAGCACAAGGGTTAAATCATTCGAAACATAAACACTATAGATGACCGGGTGCAGGCGGAAGCTAAAGCTTATTGTGCCTGCCCTTTACTTAACCACAACTTAACCACAACTTAACTTAACTTAACTTAACTTACTCTTTTTGGAAGAAATTGACAAAAATCAATAGGGCAAATGTTTGGATTGTCGGAGAAGGGGGAAATTTGGGCTTAAGATTTAGAATTTAAAATCTGTCTGCAGTGACCAGATACAAAAAGAAGAAGCATAAAATGTGAAATTAGGGTTAGGGTTAGGTTGGTTTCATTGAGGTCAGATGCCGTAAGCAACAGAAAGCGTTTTCTAGGCCGTTTTTTGTTTATTTTTGTTTAGCTCATATCAGATAATTAAATCAAAGCAATGCAAATTCCTGACTTTAATCTCCATGTGTTTGCTGTTTTGTGTCGGTTCATTGCGATCCTTACCTCTGTGTGATCATTGTGAGTTTTTGAGACCTTGTAATATCCTGTTCCAGAATATTGTCTAGTTATTGTTAGTCATAGTCTAGTTTATTCTCTTCGTGTCCTGTCTACGTTTTGCCCCCTTGTGGGTTTTGTTTTTCCTGTTTCTTGTAAATTATTTGTTATCCATCCTGTTTGCGCTTGGGTTCATCTGTATTAAATGTGACAGTTAATGCTGCATTTATTTGATCAAAAATAGAGGCAAAAAAATTGTAATTGTATAACTGTTTTCAATTTTTATTTTAAACGGTCATTTTTTTCCTGTCATATCAAAGCTGCATTTTTCATATTTTCATTTTTCAGCATCATTACTCCAGTCTTCTGTGTCACATGATCCTTCAGAAATCTTTCTAATATGCTGATTTTCTGCTCAAGAAACATTTCTATTATCCATGTTGAAAACATTTTCTTTAAAACATTTTCCCCCCTTGGTTTGGTTTAAATGGAAGGGAAGTAGGGAACATCCCATTTTATAATTTTGCAAACATTATGGGGATGTTAATTCTGAATGTTCTCTTAAAAACGGAATTAACATTCTATTAATGTTACTGAAAAAAAAAACTGAAAAAAAAAAAAAAACGTTTATTCACAACTTTGAGAGAACCTAACCAGAATGCCCTGAGAACATTCCCTGTTATCTGGACATCAGATGTCATGGTTGGATGCCAAGTGAAACGGGATGGATTTTATAATGGGAATTAGCAGAGACCCCCACCCCTGTTGCACACCTACCATTCTCTGGCCCAGGCGGCCAGAACTAATCAATTAGCCCAGTCCTACTGGGTCCACTGGGGTTTATTATTAGAGCACAGGAAGCCATCAGATCTCTCGTGACTGGCGGCTCTATTAATAACAATGGCAACACTATGTATAAATATGTTCTGAAGAGACACCCCTGGTAATAAAGAGAAACCCACAAGGTGTCTAGTTCTCTGAACCCTGACCAGGCATTCAGAGGCAGGGAAGTAGTGATGTCATGAGCATTTATTATGGGTATTTATTACATGACTTGGTTGAATTCTAATGTAGAATGCGGTCTGTTATTTCTTGAAGTATCCACAAGTTTCCTACGCCCCATGAGGCCTTGCGTCAAAAGTGGGCGCGACTTCCGGTTTGAAGTAATCAAAGCACGATTTGACATGCTTGACACTCGTTCATTCAACAGTTGACAGTCATTCAAGTTATAGCGATCCACACTAGCTAACGATGTGGGAACACAACCTCAACGGAATTAAAAAGGGTGAAATAACAGTACCTTTACCTCCGCAGTAGTTGATTGGGAGTATTATAATAACATTATTAATAATCAATACTCATCAAGGCATGGCGACAGACAGTTGTGCGAGCTGACAAACAATTAAAATAAAAAATAAACACTAGTCATTGTGCTTTGGAGTTTATTCAAAATTATAAATGAATGTGCTATTTGAATACATTAACTGGGACATCTGGTATTTGGTCAACTCATGCTTTGATCCTGAGTTTAGGTGTAACATCAGTAGAGAACAGCCAAACACATGCTGATAGAGTTTATAGAACATTAAGAATTTAAACAAATGTACACAGGAAGATTCGTCGTCTTTTGGGAGGTGATGGAAACTTCAGTCGTTGGCAGGATCACTCTGATTTCGTTTTCAGCTTATGTTCAAAACAATCACGTTTAAGCCACTAAATTAGTTTAGTCCGGTTATACATACAACCGCAAACAGCACATGTTGTCCCTGAGCTCCGTAACGACATCTCTCATAAAGATTTGCATCTTTAAATAGTAAAATAATTATCCGAAAAACATCTAGCCTCTTCGCTAACTAACACACAAAATACCATTGGAATGCTACTTCCGCCGCGTCACCGGAAGTTTCGCCCACTTTATTTTTTACAGGAGCGCCCCTCGGAAACTTGTGGAAAACACACCAGAGCGTTGCTATGGACGCAGGATTCTAACCGTACACTCTAAAAAATGCTGGGTTGTTTTAACCTACCCAACTTTGGGTCAAATATGGACAAACCCAGCCTTTGGGTTACATTTTTTTTTATTTAATTTTTCACCCAACATTTGGGTTTGTCCATATTTGACCCAAAGTTGGGTTAAAACAACCCAGCATGTTTAGAGTGTATATAGATGGAACGGACTATTTATTTTTTATTTATTTTTTTTTGCGGAAGCAAGGCGATCGTTTTTAAATGAATATTTTGTGTCAAATTATTGATTTATGTGGTAGGTAGCCAATGTAGAGTGAGGCAGTTGTTATAGCCCTCTAAAAAATGCTGGGTTGTTTGAACCCAAATTTGGGTCAAATATGGACAAACCCAAATGTTGGGTAAAAAATGCAATTAAAAAAAAAAGTTGGGTTAAAATTTGAAATTACATTTTTAACCCAACATTTGGGTTCAAACAACCCAGCATTTTTTAGAGTGAGCGAATACAACCCCTTGTATACATTATCCCTTACATATTCACTTCTTTCTAACCAATTTTAGAATGTACTTCCTTACATTCGAGCCATAGTTTAATGCTTTAACCTTTTTTAAAGGAACAATTGACCCTGATACAAAAATTGTCCCTGCAGTTATTCTTACCTACTACACATAATGTAACTTTTTATTCATTTTCAA